ATTTTATATATCATCAAATTCTTTGCTTTTTTACAGATTAGTAATCACTATGGACATAAGTATGTTGTCATGAAGATATTTAAAGAATTACTTCTATTCAAATTTTCTCAATCTCCTCCCAAAGCAGTGGCATATGGAGAGTTTACTATTATTGGACAGGAGGTCTAGATCAATTAAATTAAATATAGCACATTGCAGAATCTCTGGAGGGTGGTATTTGAAGCTTTTAACTCAAAGACAGAGTAGTTGTCTCATTTTGTGTTCTCATGTAACCAAATTTTCTTTAGAAAAAAATTATTATTAAGCAAGATAGATATGGGATTGGAATGAATTCCTTTGAATCATTTTGACCATAATCATAATTTCCACTTTTAGCAATTCATAGTGTTATCAACATGTAATCCTTCTTATTTTCACACATATTATTTAACAAAATACTAATCAAGTTGAAAATTCTTTTCTGTTTCTATCAAAGAAATTTATGCTCTCAATTCTGACATTCTCAGAACACTATGGATCACACTGCATGAATATGTGAGGATACAATATGTATCTAAGCTGCAGTAGCCAAAAATAATTATGGCTCAAAATTAGTTTGTATCCCCATGGAGAATATACACTTCACTTACAGGAAAAATAATCACAGAACTAAATGATGCCAAGTACAACAAAATGATGCAACCACAGAATCCCAGAGAATTTTCAGAATAAAGAATATGACTTATTTTGGACTTTATGGTTTTTGAGTACACCAGGGTCTGGTGATAGTGACTGAGTAGCCTAGCAGAAGGTTGTGCTTTGGGCAGTCTGGTAGTGCTTGGAGTCACAGATTCTGTAAGAATCAGGTGACAGCTACAAATGCTCACACCGGAACAATGTTCCTTCACCCAGAATTTCACATATAATTTTGAGGGTTCATGGACTCCCTGAAACTCATTTTAGCCCCCAGCGCACATTTGTGATAAACATTTTTATCAGAATAAAAAACTAAACCCCCTTTCCTTGAATTTTAAAATATAATATTTAGATTTTTATAGGCATAGCTTTAGGGATTTGAAAGAATGAGTTTACTATTTCTCAAAATGTATTTCTAGTTGTTCAGCCTGGTAGGACTAAGAACATGTGAAGGAGTAAGAAATATAAAACATTAATGGACTCTTCCAAAGCCTTGCACATAGTAGGTACAATGAATCTTGAATAAAGTGATGAAAAATCAGTCTTAGAATAATGCCGAGGTAGCAGCTCAATTCCAGTGTCATAAAAGTAATGTTAGGTAAATACTTATTAAAATAATTCTCTTAATTTTGTCATAAAACAAATTGCTTCAATATTATATAATTTTTAGGCTTATATATATATAGGATTTTCTTCATATCTGAATTCATTAGAATATACAAAATAAAGTGCTTATCCTCTACTTCTATTTCTTGCCTTTATAACATCAGTGAAATATTTTCCAAAATAAACAATATATTATGTTCATGGGTATACTCAAGTAGTTCTATGAATAATGTTCCTTAGAGTTTGCATTTTAAGGGATATTTTAATTTTGTCTTTTGATTTTTATAATCTGTAAGAAGCTCTTTTCTAAAATCAGTGTTCTCACTGGAGGTGATCCAACACATCGACTCAAATGACTGAAAAAACATGATTGGTCCTAACATTGAGCAAAACTATGTGGAAAATTTGAAATGATTTGTAAACATTTTCACACTTATTATGATTCAGATATGGACTGTGGCCCAGGAAAGATTTGGATTTATTTTGATAGTCCCTGTAATTTGCTCAGCAATGTTTTCCTAAGTTATGATTTCATGCTATTAGAAATTGCACATTGTTGAGATACCACATGCAAAGAAGGTATGATATTATATGGCAACAATTAAAAATGCTATAAAGTAAACAGGTTTCAAACCAAGAAAACATGAAGTGAATGTGGCACAAATAGAATCAAGAAGGAAAATATCTAGACTTTAGCACAAGGTACCATTCTCAGCACATGGCCCAATTTAGTTTTAGCAAGCAGAGCGAAACTAGAGTACAGATGAAGCAACAGGACATGTGGACTTCAGTCCTGCATCCCCTGGCATCAGTCTGGAAATCAAGGACACATGTCTTGACCTAAATGCTACACAACCAATATCTTTTCTTCTAGGAGGTGTAAGAGGCAGGATTGACTATATTATTTGGGGAGCCCAGTGCAAAGTGCAAATGCAGGATTTCTTGATCAACATTCATCTGAACAAAAATTCAAGATGGTAACAGCAATGCATTCAACCAAGCATAGTCCTAGGCCACTGCTTGTCCTGGTGACAGAGGAAAGGAGTAAGAGAGACATCTCTGAATCCTGCCTGTCCCAGTGCTGGCTCCTCCTGGACTCCGAGGAGATGCACAGATCAAGCCCTAGGGAATGGCCAGTGCGCTGTTTGGTGCATGTTTCGAAAGCGGTTGAGATGACGGGCTTCTCCTACCCGAAATCTATCCCCTAGATAGATTGTGAGGATTAATGAGTTAATATCAGAAATTGCTAGAGGGCAAATCTTCACTTGCCTAAAAGAGCATAAAATTTTTATTTTGTCTTTTATGCTTTCTGACAATCCCTTCAGTCTGCCACTAGGCTTTTAGTGGAGCGTGTGGAGAATTTAGGACAAGATGATGAATCTTACTCAAGGGCATCTCAATAGCTTTGCAAACTTAATGCAATAATGTAGGTCTTGGGCGCTGTGTCATGGACTAAACGAAGACAGCAGAAATTCAGATAAAAGAGGCTATAGTTCATCCTATTGTTATTATTTAGGAGACAAATTATGGCAATGATTTTTTTTAAATCTTAAAATCCTCTTTATCACAGCTACCTAATTCTGTTTTGAATAACTACAAAGCCATAAAGATACTCAATGGAGTACTGAAGGCTGTATTTTCTTTTACATAGTGCAAAAAGGATACACTTTGTCATTAGAAGGAAAAGAAGCCTCAGCCAGGTTGTACATCTGGAAAATAGGTAAAGCCCCAAATGAAAGCTGTTGCAACAACTGGGACAGAAACGAAGTTGCAATATCCTTTTCTTTGGCACCCACTTGGGAGCCCAGGAGTCAGGCTCCGGCTCCTCGCCTGCTCCATCGCCACTGCAGGATTGGGTCTAGAGTGAGGCGTTTAACACTTGGAGTCCAACACTTGAACTAAAAAAAGACAGGCAGACTAGAAGCAGAGAAAATAGCCAGAGGCACCCTGAGGAGAAGGGACAGGGGGACAGGAAGCCAGAGAGCAGCACATCCTCCAAGACAGTAACTACCTGTGACATCGGCCCTGGGGAACTCCTTTCTTTCTCCATGTTCCCCTGAGCTGTGGGTTTCCCAGTGTGTGAGTAGAAGTTACATTGAAGTCTTCAGTCCAAGAAACCCTAAAGGGTAGAGGGATTTGGTTCCTGCCCTTGCTTGCAGGCTGGCAGTGGAGATAAGGGTATCAAAGATGCTGAAAAGGAGTAAGAAGATGGTAAGGGATTTGACGAGGAGACAGAAAGAGGGATGTTAGGGATGGTTTCCTGAGGGAGGCGTTCAGGGCCTGGCCATGAGGTGGGCAGAAGGGGGAAGGGAACATGGCAGCATGCCTACCTTGTGCCAGAAGGGAGCTGAGAACTTTCCATAAATTTATCTCCTGCAATCTTCGTGAGGCCTCTGTGAGCCCACTGCTATTAGCTTCATTTAAAGACAAACATTTTTTTCTCATTTGTGATCAAAATTTTAAAATGAATGAATGAATGAGTTAATAACCCCCTCCCCCATACAGACATAAACATGAGACATGATTAAGATCCTTAGGATAACTCAACACCAAAAAGATTATGGTACTCTTCCTTATATATAATTCATAATAAGACATCACACATTATATTCATATATATGCTAGAATTTAAACAGCTTATTTTCAGATTTTCTTCTAGCTAAATCCTGGGTAAGTCTATTAAATGTTGACTTGTATCAAGTTTGAGGGGCCCTTGTTCTTCTGTACCTTTATTGTGTACTCTTAGCTAGTTTCTTGAATAAAATGGCACTGCACCCAAGAGTGACAGAGACAGTAAGTGGCAAAGCAAGGAGTCAAATGTTGGTCTATCTGATGCCAAAGCCCAGGCTCCCAATGACATGGCTTTCCCATTGAGCCTACCTGAGGTGCATCTAGCCCCTGGGTGTGTGCTTAACCATGAAGACCTGCTGATCTCTGGGAGCAGCCATGTGGGTGGAAATAGAGCCTCTATGAAGAGATAAAGACTTTGTAGGATGCTCTTTGAGACTTTGTCACAGGTTTTCAAGTCATACAAACCTCCCCTATATCTGTGATATATTGTTAGATGACAAAAGCAGGTTGCAGAGAAATGTACACAGCATGATCCTATTTTTTCTTAACAAAATGCCCCTATATCTACGTGTATAGATGTTGTTACATATTTGTAGAGTTACGTTGGGTACTGGAAAGAGATTTAAAAAAGGAAGACAAAAGGGCAAGTAGATTGCTAGTATAACGTAAAGAGAACATATAAAATAACACAGTTCCATCTACAACATTACCTCAAATAGGTAATCATTGAATGTGCCTACAGAAAAGTTCTCCAGGTAACACAATCAAAGACAACAGTGATTTGTTTGGGTGATGAAGCTGTGGACAGTTTTGGTCTTTGATCCTTCCTTTTGTCATTTTAATTTAGCTTTTGCTCTAAGGTAAAATAACAAAGTAAGCATAACAGGTCTTCCCAAAACTGTGTAGGTTTAGTGGTGCCTATAGGTGAACAGCCAACAATGACACACCTGCTAGTCATAGAGGCCCCTCCTCCAGGCTCTCAACTCCCCTCTGTGTTTCTGGCTGGGAAATACCAACGACCCACTGTGCTCCCACAGGGCAGAGGCTAGCAGTGGTGAAAGCCCCTAACCACACACTGCACCCCATGTAAACAGTAAAAAAAAGTGGAGGGTCCCCTCTGGGAACTTGGGAAAATGCAACTTGCCTACCCTGTTTGAAAGAGGAGTAGTGGCCACTCCACTCCTGGAGATTGTTGTGTTGTAGGATGGTGAGCCCCATATCTTTAGATCCTCCAGTTCTTCTGGAAAAATGCAAAATTCAAATTTGTATGGGCACACTGTTCATTTTTCATGACTAGCACTAAATCACATCTGACCAGATGCTGTGTAGAGCCACAGCAGACACATGTGCAGTCACATGTCATTGTGCCTTGAAGGAGAAAGGGCCCAATTCAGTATTTTGATAAGAGCTCAGAAAGTTCTAGCAATGGTCAGGCAGAGTGGTTAGGATGGGAAAACTGAACACAGAGATCACGAAGTCACATAGTGGGGGCGAAAGGTAACTGTGGTCTCATAAAAAGACATTGGTGATAACTTTTACTGATCCCCAGTTTTGCTGAGTGTCTGTCTTTTCCTAGCTGTCTATTCTCTCTCAGATCGACTGTTAAAATTGAACTATGGCGCTCAAACACCGAGAGGGTCACTTTAATAAAGAGTAAAGATATTCTGTCTCCGAACCTCACCACATATGCACACACATCCCACACATCCTCAGCATGTAGAAACATGGAGTGTTGTTTTGCTCTTTTTATTACTTAAGAGCTAGGGATAGGAATGAACTGATGTAAAATAGTATAGTGTGTCATTGCATGTTCTGAATTCCAGCATAATTCAAACACCTCCCACTAAGATTTGTCATCCTGCCTCTAGGCAGGACTGTTCTTAAAGTGTTCTTGACATCTGAGCACCTGTGGTATTCATTAAGCCCTCCTGGGAATAAGACCTCCTTACACATACTCAGAAAGTACCTTTCTCTGAAAGAATGAAGTTCTATATCTCCATCAAAAAGATGAAGGCGTAACCTTCACTCTGCTCTATCTGAAAGGGCAAGAAAAGTAGGTTGACAATGTAGGGAGTAAAATTAAGTCTGTGCCAGCAAGTATTCAAGAGGTATGCTTTATGTAGCTCATGACTTCATAGCAGCAAAACCCTCCTCCCCACTCTGTGTCTTCAGAAAAGGGGCAAGAGAATCCTGGAACATCATACTCTATTAGATTTTAAACACTGCTGGAAACTAATGCTTTTAAACATTGAAATATTAAGAATTGTTCTGTACCCAAAACAGATATTCTTATTTTAGGAAGTAGTTCTTCACCAACTATCACAACATTCTTTTGCAAGGAGCTAGCTAAGAGGGAGTACAGTTTTTTTTTTTTTTTTCTGCCTTGCAAGTCTGTCTTCTCTGTTCTGGTTCAAGCCAATAACTCATTTTATGCAGCTACAGACCAAGAATTTTGAAATTTCTGAGTCATCATTCGAACAGCATAATCTCCATGATCCTGAAGACACATTTCTTGATAACATATTGATTACTATATCCCTAAATGGATATTTCTGGTACATTGCCTGTCTAGCAGCCATATATTCCCACCTATTTGTCTGGGTAATTTCTGGCTTCAGAAGAACATATGGGCCATATTCACAACTTCTACCATTTTCAATGTTTATCTTTATTCCGTCAAATTTCTTATGGGTTCTTTCCATTTCCCTTCTGTCTCTTTATTCTCTTCATTTTCTCTGATTAGTAATTCGTTTTACGTAAAGCTCCAGTTTTAAAGTTAGTGGAATAGACACACTCAGGAATAAGAAAATGGTAAGTCCACAGGCTAAAGTTTTAATCCTTGCTCTGTCATTATTTAACACTAACAGTCAGAATAGGCATTTAACACACTCTTGCCTGAGATCTCCCACTTACCAAATGCCACGAGGGCAGTTTTCTCCTGCCAGCTTCACAGAAATATAGGGGCAATGCATAATGTGCAGGAATTACTTTGAGGGTCTTTGGAAAAATCTCTGTTCTTAACCTCACTCTGCCAACATTGCCCTTTGAAGCCTATGCAGTCACTCTATGGGTTTTCCATCAGAAGGATCCGAGTAATAATTCCTTTCTCCACCCATTTCACAGAGATGCCTGAGTCTCAATAGGCAATCATCACGCTTAGAAAGGACAAACACTACTCAGAATTTAAGGCAGTGTGGCCTAGCTTCTGGAATAGAAATGGTAACAACTGGGATGGTTATCCATGCCCTGTTAGGTGCAGGAACCTATGATTTGTGTTAATTATAAGATCTCTCACAATCTTTTTTACTATCTCTGTAATGTGGGCATAGTTATGTGCATTTTTATATGTAGATCAGGAAACTAAAACTTAGTATGTGAAAAACTAATTCAGGGTCACAAGCCTAAGAAGAAGCAAAAGCAGAATTTGAACCTAGTTTTTGAGTACTTTTTTACCTTAATAAATGATGGCTATTTAGTCATCTATATTCATTGATACACATCTATATTTACATTTGTACAATTGGCTTTTATTATGAAAATTTTGGAATGTATAGCAATCTGATCTAAATTTCTGAATGTCACCTGTTTATGCATCAAAGAAGATGATAATGCTGGAAATGGCTTTAGGGCCAAACAAAGTAACTGCATGTGGTTTCTAAACTGGGTCTAAATATAGATGCCACGAGGGATTGTATGCTGTATCTAATCTATAACAATAGGAAGCAGATCACCATTTTCCAGGGGCCTGGGTTAGTTAGTGGTAGCTTAGTAAAGACATAAGGGAACCCTTTGGGGTGATGGTGATATTCTATATCTTAATTGTAGTGCTGATTGCACAGATGCATACATTTATCAAAACTCATTAATCTTTATACTCAAAATGGGAATACTTTACTATCGATAAATTATGTCTCAATAGACTTGATTTTTGAAAGACAGATGCCATCATTCACTTGCTGTCTCATGAGGCAAGTTATTAATCTATATGTCTCATACTCCTTTTGTGAAAATGGGAATACTAATTGTACCCACCTTCAAAATGTTGGAGAGTATTAAAAAAAAGACACCATATAAAGACCTTACTATCATTCTTGGTCATAGGAAGCAGTCAACACATGCTTATTCAACAAAAATATGTGTCAGACAGTGTTCTAGGAATAGGAAGAATCAGTGGTAAATATGAGAAAATGTCTGCCCTCACAGAGCTTTATACTCTAGACTGGGAGAGGCAGATACTAAAAAAGTTTATCATTTGGAAATGACATTTGAATAGCAGTTAGAAGAGCTAAACCAGGAAAACAATGATGTGAGTGTGTGGCTGCGAGGATGGTGGCCATTTCCCTGAGTGGTCAGCGAAGAACCCTATGGAAAAGTGCAAAGGAGTCAAAGGAGGAGGAAGTTTCTAGTGAAGGGACCAATGACTGGGGAGACAAATGAGGTGTGAATCTGGAAAACTCCACAGCAGGTCCACTCATCTGCCCTGTGGAAAGACACTGGGGAAGTGGGAAACAATGTGCTCTGATTTACATTTAGAATAATTTCTTTGCCTTCTGTATAAAGGGTGGATTCCCAAGGGGTGAGAGAAGCAACAGGTGAGAAGTAGTGATGCTTGGATGAGGGATGGGAATGAGATATAGTGAAACATGGCCAGATTTGATATGTGTTTGGAGCAGAGAAAACAGGGTTGCCAACAGTTTGGATATGGCAAGGGATAGAGAAATCATTTTTAGCTGAAACAACTAGGTGCTATTTACTGCCTTGACATTTACTGATATTTAGTTGTAATAGTTTCTTTTTTTGTTGTTCTGAGAAGCCATTTGGTGGGTGTTAGGTATTATATCAGAAAGCATTTCTGGGCTAACTGCTGATATTAACGTGACTGTGTGCTAAGTGCCAGTTTGGGGTCCAACTCTTAGCTGTAGGTCTTACATTGTCTATTAGGCAATTAAATGCTTATGTCTGAAATCAGAAAGGCACTTGTGCTTGTGCACGTGTGCACGTACAGGTATGAATATGTGTGCATGCAGAGTATGTTCTTGAGGCTACAGAGAGCTCTGCTGGTAGAGCCCAGAATGTTCCCTTCTCCATAGGGATCACCCAGTTGCCCCTTGCTCACTTTACCCATACCGTCCTGCACTCCGCATAACCTTTATGGAGCTAAGACTTTGTCCATCTCTGGCTCCCTCATTACTGCTCTATATTTTGAAAACACCTTGATTCCCTCCAGTCTTCCTCAGTATCTCTGGGGTGGCAAGTGGGAAGATGTATGGGACACTTCTCTAGTTTTAGCTCATGGTTTAGAGTTCAAAGGCGGAAGCTTAATTTTCTCTCTTCAGTGGGGAGGTTCAGAGTCAACAGCACATTAGCTGATGAATGGAACTTTCTCTCCTGCCTCCGCTTCCTTCTTCCTTCCACTGGAATTTCACTCAGTGTGAAGAACTCTTCTCTGGGATGAATCAATGAGCCAACGCCCCAGGGACCAACTGACAACTGGTAGAACCTTTAATTCAATAATAATAAAATAAAGTCATTGCCCTCCATTGAGCACATCCTACCTGCCAGGGCTTTATAGGAATTCTCTCTCCTAATCCTTTCAGCAAACTTAGAAGCTCTCTTGTACAAACTTGTAAGGCTCTTTTATTTTCCGCTTCTAATGGTTGAGTACACAGGCTCAGAGAGTAAAATAATTTGCCCAAGGCCACACAGCCAGTAAATGACAGAATTGGGACCTCAACTCAGGCCTGTCTGGCTCCCCATTCCTAATTTATAACCGCTAAGCTATAGGGCCTCACTCCTCTTAAAACTTGGAGTACAGGGCTGTTACAGCAAGACTCCCCAGAGTCTTGGCCTATTACTCAATCAACCACTGGGATGCTGACCATGAAGCTCAGCGAACATTATCACAAATGTGGCAGCTGCTGTCTTAATTAAAGGGCCAGGTTTTCCTTGTCACTTACAGAGAAGGATCTGTTTGCTAGGTTTTTGGCTTTTTATCAAGGCATGGAAAAGAGCAACACCTTCATTTTCAGACTTGAAGTTTCCTGATTTTCTCTGGACAGGCGTTTGTTTGTTTGTTTGTTTGTTTGTTTGTTTTGTGAAATACACTTTTAACCCATTGGTATTTATTCACTACAAAACAGTCCATAGATTATTAACTCTGAGATTTCACATGCCCCCACATTTCAATCATACTGAATACTTGTAATACTTCCTGTCCTTATATGACAGAGTTTGGGCATGTGATATCCAGCAAGTAAGTTCAAACGGAGGCATTGTTAATGGGCAAAAGCACACACAAAAACTATCTTTCAGCTTCATGTTGCTTTAAGATCCGGCCAGAACTTGTGAAAGAAAACCACACACACACACACACACACACACACACACACACACACACACACACACACACACACGAGAAAGAGAGAGAGAAGACAAAGAGAGCAGACAGAGACAGAGAGGGGGTGGGGAGAAAGAACACGGTTGAGAGCAGGAAGTACTAGAAATACTGTTTAAAGGCATGATCTCATGAGATTTCTACTCCACTTTAGCAGGATGAAATATTGGGTTTATGTAGATAATCAAACATTGGGAGCTGGCACTAGAACCAGTCCAGACAACCTTCGGTTCTTCCACTGCTACTTGCAAACTTTATTTGCCAGACGAGGGGCCAGAGATTATTCCCCCTCCTATGACAATTTGCTATTCAGAGACTATGTCTTTATGTGACTCAGATGTGCTTCATTTGAGTGAGGGAGAAATGAAAGTCTGAACCACAGATTGCTAACAAAGCGATGCAGATGAATCTATTAAAGTGTATCTCCTCGCTGTTTTGTTTTTGACTTCCAATTGGCACTTTTTCTTGCCTCTCAGCTTTGAAACTCGAGAATAAAACGCCTCTGGAAACAAAGCAAAGCGAGCTGAAGTGTGTGTGTTACACAGAATGCTGAGAGCGATGTTTGTGCCGCACACAGCTACAGCTGTCACCGATTTTTCATCTACGGAGAGGTCAGCCAGACAAAAAGACCCAAGACAACACATTCAGTAGCATCTTTGTTCTCACCTCCGACTAGACGACGTAACTTGTAGCGACTCCCAATTATGGTCATAGAGATTTTTCAGCACATCACTGGTTTGGATATTAATTGTTGGTCAGATGGGGGAGTTCTTTTAAGCTCCTCAAATAAAATAAATGTAGCTTTCATTGAAGATGTTAACCCAGGAGCTCCAGAGACTTAACTCTCCACGCTGGAAACGGATTGGTTTATCTCCAGATTGTTTTGTGGGGATAAGGATTAGCTCTGAATTCAAAATGATTTTCAATCGTAAAGAGCTGCTCTGTTATTCAGAGTTTGATCGCATAGGTTATTACTGAGATCTTTTGCTCCACCTTGCTTGTCTTCCTTATAGTTTTCCCCATCCCTTCCACATCAAATGGCTGGATGGGGTCGATCTACTTATTAGACGCCTAAGAAACAATTAATACACTGAGATTTAGGGATTGTTCAATCATCAGTGCTGTCCATCTCCTTCTAATTATTTGTGGCTATTCAAATGTAAAACTTTTGCACATTTTTCTATTAATATTAACCATAACACAAGCTAAATAAAAAATTAGGGGGCTTTTAATCTTGGTCCTCAAATTTTGTGCTTTCAACGACATAATTTGGAAAGCATTTCCCTCTTTCTTGAAGCACTCTACATGATAAGAATGTTTATTTTGGGTGATTAAACAAAATGGAGAGTGCCAACCTCATTTTTTCCAGTAGACGATTATGGTTTTTTTTTTTTTTTTAATGTTGAACTTCAGCTTGAATGAAACTCAGTGTCTCCTCCCTTTTCTTCCTGAAAGATTGTTTTATGTTCTGTCTACTTCCAAAGTATTCAATTTTATAAAAAGTACTAAGGGAAGAAATTACACACTGCTGTACTGGGGCCAATGCAAAACAGTATTTTCCTTGGGTTACTATTTACCTTTTTCTCCATTACTCGTGTGGTTATGTCCTGAATGGAAGGAGGCAACACAAGCCTTCACAGATCTCAAAATCTATAATTAAGAACTGCATCTGACAAGAGTTTTTTTCCTACTGACAAAAAAAATATGTCATTTTTAAAAGGAGTATTACAGGAAGAGAGATAAAAATAGGCAAATGGGCAAAAACTGTTCCCTGTCTTCTTCATGGCCGAATACAAAGTGGGTTTTTTTGGGGGGGAGTTGGGGGTTTGGATAAGTCCTTACAATGACTACACTGTTGACTTGGCATGCAGATCAAAAGACTGACAGATTTAATTCATGTTTCTATGCTATCCAAACAATGACATGTACGAGCCAATCTGTGCTGCTTTCAGCAAGTAATTGAAGGTAGTACAAACACAGACTTTAAAAGATCAGTGGTGCCCAACTGAACTGTTCCACAAAAAGAGATCCGACAGTGCATATTCTTTTTTTCTGTTTTGTTGGGATTCCGCTTTGCCTGCCCTCTGCCCTGCCCTTACTCTCCTGGAATTAATAGCAACTGGTAGCCTGTGCATTGTGTCAACAGAAACGGACACACACGCACCGTATATGAACTTACTTGTCTGCTGCTGGCTGAAGAGATAAGGTCCAAGAGTGCACAAGAATAATCTGGAGACGTTTGGAAGTTAACCACAAGAAATCCATGTTTGCATAAGCTTCCATCATAATGCCGGGACAGTCTGGGTAGTGAGGTAATCAATTCATCCCCAAATGCATAAAGGATGACCCTGCAGGATGTTGACATGACATTTTCTGTGGATCTAACTTGCTTGGAAACCATAGACAGCATTTTTCTCCAGTAATTTGTGTACTGGATGCATTTTTTTTTCAAATTGCATCGTGCCAGCAATTTGGTTTTTAAATACAATAGTCTTTTGAAAATTACTGAAGAAAATGAATAGAAAATCACCAGCATCATAGCAAATTATCCTAGGTCAACACATAATGCCTCCATTCTCCAGATGTCTCAATTCAGGCAGCTACTTTGGGTATCTTTGTCTAAGGATGCATATAAGTATTCCGAGTTTAATAATACATGTTCTCTTGCGTGTTACCGTGGGCTAACATCACTGTATGCCTATCTTCCACAGTAAGGTTCCAAAAGAAATGAGTTTAAAACAATGTACCCAGAGGCAGTGCTTTTGCTTGAATGTTTCCAATGAATTCTTTGTTCAGAATCCTTGCCTGTACTTTAGGGTCATGGATAATTTCTCATGATTTTGTCTCAATTATAAAACTATAATTGTTTTATACTGAAAGATGTTAAAATACAATTTCCACGTTTTTTAATGCCCAGAGTTTAAACATTTGGAAGTCATCTATGCCATATAATTAATTGACAAATTGTTTCAGAGTATTGAGTCTAAAACAGAGCTACATAAACAAGGCTGGCTGTCTTAAAAAGAGTTCCATAAACAATACTGGCTCCTTGTAGAAAAAAATTAGAAGTATCAAATAAGCAAAAGCAACAAAAGGTATCTGTAATACTTTCACTCCAGAATTATTATTATTATTATTATCATTTGGATTCTATCCTTTCAAACTTTAAAAAGTAATAACCGTGCCCATTCTTTCAGGAAGTAAATAGGAAACTTGATCCATTAGTCATTGAGGAGATATATATGTAATATTTAATTTAATTTATTCTCTCCCATAGAGTTGTGCAGAGTGCTTTGTTTTTGAGGAGTCTTTTTTTCTGCATTGGGTTTCTTCTGTGAATGTCTTAGAATTTAGAGTTTTTGGGTAGGAAGGCATAGCCTATACACGTCTATTGTAGCACAAGTTAGGAAGTGGTTAAGTAATATTAGCAGGATCACATGGGCTGGTCAAGGAGAGAAACTGGCAAAGAGAAGTACTTGCTACAAACCTGAACAGAAAGGTGAAATATTTAAAAAACAGGGAGGTGAGGGATAGCTAAAAGAAATTGGATATGTTTAGTTCGTGAAAGGGCTTAAGACAAATTTGATAACTCTCTTTTTATCTGAATGGTCTCCATGTGCAATACACTTCATGAGTGCTGGTTTGTCCATTTGGGGGTGCTATCCCAAAAATAGGAACACCTGGGTTGTTTAAACAAGAAGTTCTTTCTCACAGCTCTGGGGGCTGGAATTTAGAGACCACAGTGCCAGCATGGTAGGTTCTTGGTGAAGCCCCTCTTTCTGGTTTATAAAAGTTCGTCCTGTACCCTCATTTGGTAGAGAGAAAGGAAGCAAGCTCTCTCCTGTGTCTTCTCATAAAGGCACTAATGCTATCTAAAGGGTTGCCTCTTCATGACCTAGTTACCTCACAAAGGCCCCATCTCCAAACACCATCACATGGGGGATAAGAGTTTCAACATACGAATCTGGGGAACACAAACAGCCAGTCCATGGCAAGTGCTACAGACAAGAGAAAAAAACAAAACAAGGCTAAAAAGTGATTACCCCAGAGGAGGCTTGGGATCCTATTGAAAAGGAAGAAGGAACCAGCAAGTAGAAATATACAGCAGTGTTACCAACTGTTTAAAATAGTGAACCCCTGGGGTGCCTGGGTGGCCCCGTTAGTTAAGAGGCTGCCTTTGGCTCAGGTCCTAGGATCCCAGTCCATGTCAGGCTCTCTGCTCAGCAGGGAGCTTGCTTGTGTGCTCTCTCTCATTCATTCTCTGTGAAATAAAAAATAAATAAATACAAATAAGTAAATAAATAATCTTTTAAAAATAATTTTAAAAAATAAAATACTGAAGCCCCCCAGTTATTAAAGGTGCCCAAAGGGATGTCTGGGTGGCTCAGCGGTTTGCCGCCTTTGGCCCAGGGCGTGATCCTGGAGACCCAGGATCGAGTCCCACGTCAGGCTCCCTGCATGTAGCCTGCTTCTCCCTCTGCCTGTGTCTGTGCTTCTCTCTCTCTCTCTCTCTCATGAATAAATAAATAAAATCTTTAAATAAAAATTAAAAATAAAAGGTGCCCAAAAGGATGCTGGTTATCGGCCAGGGATACTGGATTAAGGTCAGCTGCATGGGGAGAAATGTTAAACCGTGTGAGAAACTCTTCTCCAGGACCATCATTCCTTCAAGCAGGGCAATCCAAAGGGCCTGACTCCAGAAAGATAAGGTTGTTTGTATACATCATGTTGAAACTCAATGAGGTCTGAAAGAAAACTAAGAGCAAAAGCAAAATCAGCTCCGGTTTATACACCTATTTGGAGGAAACTTCCCATGATCAAAATAGCAGCTCTTTTGCTGATGTAAATGGTACTTATAATTCTAGAAACCTAAGTTCTATAAGTTTCACAGACACTTTTGGAAATTGTCAGGGTCTTGACTTTAGTGGTATGGCTTCTGTATCCCACCTCAGCAAACGGAGACGTGAGAAAGCCTAAGGAAACGGGGAATTGTGTGTAACACACTTGATTAAGTGAACTGTATTCCCTTCTTTCTGTGCAGAGTCTAATCAGTTAGTCTGTATATGAAAGCATTGCAATTATATAGTCTAGAAGCAAGCAAACATAAATCACCACTTTGGCAAAAAACCAAACCAATAGGGAACGAAGCACAGAGATAATTCGTAGGTAGTAGAATAATAGCATAACCCAGGATGACTTTATGTTATTCCAGAGACAGAACAGGGTTGAGCATTATTCCTAAATACTACGATATCTGCAAAGGTGAGATGATCGTTATAAATCAAGATGTTACAAAAAGAAGAAAAGAGCTGTAGCCTGAGACAGATGCTCCAATTAGCAAGATATCCATTTCCAAATTATTATGTTTTCAAATAAATTCTGACGTGCAATTTCAGAACATTGGAAACTAATACTAAACCAGTCCAAGTAGAAACAGGAAGTAAATCCTGGTGGAGCTGTACGCCCACTCTGCATATTACTAATAAGTCATTCCATTGTTGTGCGTAGGGGAATGGGTAGTAGGAGCAGAATGATTTTAAAAACCAGCCTTTACCTTGAGATGGTTTTCCCAAAACTTGGAGTTACAAATTAAAACTGGCAAAGTAGAAAAAAAAATTGAATGTTATTACCACAGCAGAGAGTTCAACCAGATATTTTAAATTAATCTATAAGGACCCTCATGTTCCAAAGTATCAAATAGAGCTGAAAAGT